TTAGGAGTGAGATTAGGAGAAGGGGCTGCGCATCTGTGCATGTAATTCACACATGAAATGGCCACAACTAGACACACCGAGTTTTCCCACATGTCGCCATCAGTCTGTGTTCCCCTTTCCGTGCACTTATTGATTGCCCGAGTCGTTTAACCAACTGAGGGTGAGCGGTGGCTGTTATAACTAAAACAAATCCCATCTGCGTGTACCACATGCACTAAACGCCACCCCTGCCCCCACATGACGCGAGAGACGTTCACAGAAAGGGAGTTGGCTACTCAGATCCCCTATAGCAGAGAGGCATTCGGTAGAGCCAAGGAATGCCCTTCCTATCTGTATGAGAGGTACCTATTTTAAGCATTTGGCATGTAATACCCTAATGGTTCATGCGTGTTGCATATAATGTGTGGTTTAATCGGCGGCGTCTTACTAAGTTTTTCATGGAGCCGTATGTGACCCAGTAGGCCCATGTGATGATGAAATATGTAAGGCGATGGTAACTATTGAAGCGAAGAAAACGGAGGTATGATTATGGTCCAGGTGCGCATCAAGAAAGGTTATAAAAAACTACAAGAGATCAATAATAATAATTACTGGTCCATCGGCTAGCGCTATGTCAACTCCAGGCAGGCACATGCGATTAGAAACTGGGTGATCTACAAAATTTGTAACTCCCTTTGCTGCATCGGCGGCCTTTCAGGCCTAGTCTACCTCTGCACCCGCCAACTTTATTCTAATTTTGAATTAAGAGTGAAAATGCCGTCTATAGCCACATAAACTGGCGATGGGAACTGGATGCACCCAAAATACATATGAATCTGCGTAAAATTTCGGGAAAATTAGTTTTAGAATTTACGTGAGGGTCAGGGACAAGGTCAGGTTAGGTTTGAGGTTGGAATTAAGGTCAAAGTTGGAGGTATGGCCAAGATAATGTTACGAGTTAATGTTTCGGTTCGTGTCAACTGCAGTATTTAGTTTAAGGTTAGGACTAGGGTTAAGATCAAGGCTGAAGTTTAGTTTTATGCTAGGATTTTTATATGGGTAAAGACACGGAACTATTAGCTCTTCATGGAAGAGTTTAAAAGGTCACCTATTTCAAGTGGACGGGGTGTTTCTTGTACCGCGTCCTATTTAGGCGGCCATGAATATCACCCTTAGTGAATTAGAAAAACGATACCCGGGGTATATTAAAATAACCGACCTCTTTCAACAATCCTCTTAAAATTCACTTTTGAGCCTTATTTTGCTGCTTTGACAGAGGACCGATGGCTGCGTCGCAAATTTACATACTCTAACCGTGTGACTCCCTACCAGCCGCTATATTTGAAGGACATTTCGACCTATATAAGTCAGTAACCCACAGAAATAGCATATCTAATAGAACGTGAATTAAGTCATATTGATCCACAGCACCTACTGTCCTCGCCTCATCCCTGCAAAGCATGCTACGATTATGCGAAGGCATTAAGTCGTCCGGAGGAGGGTGCATCCTCAACGGATGGTATATCTAACCCGCCCGTCTGTATGACGTTTATTTCCCGGTTTTCTCCACAGGAGAACTGCATAGTCACTGCGGCCTGCATCTCTGTCGTGAGAGAGACTTAGTTATCCTGTCAGGTTGCAACCCTTCATATTACGACCCATTCCAGTTCCTGATAGAGCCAAGCGCCACAGACTTATTATAACGAGGGATTTGTTAATTCCGAAGAAGAAGATGCGATCACTGGAACAAGGACTTTAC